AAGAAATTCTTGATGGAGATGGAACAATGGCTAAGAACATTTGTTGAACAAACAGGAAGACATCAGTTTGGATCCCCAGCACTTACACAAACAGCTAGGCATGGAAGTATGTGCCTTGTACCCTCAGTGTTAGGGGACAAAGACAGGTATATCCTGGTAGCTTGCTAGCCAGGCAGTCTAGCCGAAACAGTGAGCTTCAGGGCCAGTGAGGCCCTGTATACAGGGAGTAGGGCAGAGAGTGACAGAACAGGATCCCATGTCATTCTCTGACCTCTGCCCAAATGTACAGAGCATGCACCTGCACTCACACAACACAAACAAATACACAAAAAAGAAGAAATTCTTGAATCAAATTTAAATATTTAAACTTACCATGTGACCACAAAAAGCAGCAAGTTATATCTCAGCTTGCCTTTCTACAAAATAAAGATATCAACTATTAGGGCAGATTTTATCAATGTATATACAATTTACTCTTTTTAATAAAAAAAGTTTAAGTTGGATGTTTGTTATGCATATAATTTATTTAAAATAACTGGTTCGTTCCTGAATAATTCCAAATTTCAGAAATAAAATTATATCAATTACTTCCAATTTCAATAAATCTGATAAACTAGTAAATTAAACCAAGTTATTTGTGACAAGCATGTGAAACATATCTGTAATCCAGAAGCTTGGGAGGCTGAGGCAAAGTTTGATGCCTAGAATACACAGTGAGACAATATCTCAAACAAACACACAACAAAATATATGCACAAGTAACATTCTTTCATAAAAAGGAATAATTTCCTCATAATGCACTGTTTTAGTAAATGTCACTTCTCAAATGCTAAATGACACTAATCTGTTACCTATTCACACTCAAAAATATATTTCAGTAATCAGACATAATTTAAAATATATTTTCATGTTGCAGGATATTTGTTCACTGTGTAAAGATGTGTCATGCTTGGTTTAATAAAGAGCCAAACGTCCAATGGCTAGGCAGAAAAAAATAGGCAGGTCTTCCAGGCAGAGATAGGAACACTGGGAGGAAGAAAGGAGACATCAGCAAGATGCGGAAGAAGTTGGACATACAGAATGCAAGAAAGGTAAAAAGCCACGTGTCAGAATGTAGAATAGAAGCAGGTTAATTTATAATCTTATGTTATAAGAGCTAGTTGGGAACAAGCCTAAGCTAAAGGCCAAGATCTCATAATAAAAAAGGTCTCTGTGTCATTATTTGGGGGCTGGCAGTCCAAAAAAAGTCCAACAAGAAAGACCTGCTACATCTGTCACCCCATTTTGAGCACCAAATGATGTTTTCCTGTCCACTTAGTGGCTGTACATGAATCTACTGATATTTTACTTATCAGCAGATAGAGCACCAGTCAGCACCCACTGGCCACTCAGGCCACAGCCTGGAGAAGGCCTTCAAGTCTGGCAGACCCAGTAAACTAAGTCTCTATCATTTTATTTACCAACAAAGACTCGGGAGTCAGATGCTGGGGTGAAAACCTGCTAGATCAGAGAAGCTGAGAGGCAACCAGCTGACTGATTTTTGGTTGAAGAAACAGCAAGAGACAATCTCTTCACTTATCCCAAAAACTAAAAGAGGGACAAACTCTAGTCCCGCCCTTTCTTTCCTTTTCTATCCAAATTTCTGGCTTTTCTATGGCTAATTCTGGTCAGCTAGTCGCTGGCTCCACCCCGATTCAAAGTTAACTCTATTAACAGTCTCGGAGTGTCACAATGCAATCAAATATCCTGCAACATTTTAATTCATTATTTTTGATTTTATCAACTAACTAAAGAGACAGAAAAACAGTTGGATATAGCTTCTCAGAGATTTATTCATTCAGAATATAGGTAGTCTTGGCCAGCTACATGAAAGGCAATATGTTAAAGTTTTAGGTGAAAATAAAGATTTGTAAGAAGTTTACAATTAACCACACTTTATAACTCATTGGTCTTCAAGAAAAAAGTTACAATAAACATTACCATAAATTCATATTTAGCCAGGAATGATGGCACATGCTTATAATCCTAGCATTTAGAAGGCTAAGGCAAATCGCTTCTCGGCCTTTTGGCTAAGATCAAGTGTAGAAGGCTAAGGCAAAAAGAAGATCAAGTTCAAGGCCACCCTGGATTACACAGTAATTTCTAACTAGCTTGGACTTCAAACATTTCAAGACCTGTTTCATAAAATCAAAACCGAACAAACAACTGAATGGCTTCTTAACTTCTTTAATTCAATTATTTATTGGTTTTTGAGACAGGATTTCTCTGTATAGCCAGCCCTATCTGTCCTGTAACTAGCTCTGTAGACCAGGCTGGCCTCAAACTCACAGAGACCCACCTACCTCTCCCTACTAGGTGCTGTGATCAAAGGTGTGTACCAGCACCCTGGGCTCTAACTCAATTACTTAATAGTTGCAGTTTGTCCCTCACTTACAATCTATGTAATGCTCATGATAATTCTTGTTCAACATTAAGAACTTACTAACATTAAGTATCACAATTATACTATCTGTTGTGGAATACTACTTTAACTAGGCAAAGATGTGCTACATTTGTTTATGCTGCATTTGTTTACAATGTAAAGATGTGTTGCTTTGTCTGCCCAAGACACCTGACTGGTCTAAAAAACACGGAACAGCCAATAGCTAAGCAGTAGAGGGATAGGTGGGGCCAGCAGGCAGAGAAAATAAGTAGGAGGAATCTAGAAGGAGGAGAACAGGAAAAGAACAAGGGAGAAAGAGAAAAGAGATGATGATGCCAGGGCCTGCCAGGCAGCAGCCAACAAGCCCGACATGGAGTAGGACATATAGAATGAAAGAAAGGTAAAAAGCCTTGAGGCAAAAATGTAAAGAAAACAGGTTAAGTTATAAGAGCTAGTAGGACAAGCCTAAGCTAAGGATAAGCATTCATAACTAAAACTAAGTTTCCATGTCATGAGTTGGGAGCTGATTGGCAGCCCAAAAGAAAGTATGCTACAACTATCAGATTAATATACTAATATTAAGTGGTCATATGAATTTCATGAAAAAATGCTTCACAATTTTGGAGTGAAGGTATATAATTCAATGAATAACTAAATCACCTGAAAGAGAAACAAAATATTTGAAGAGATCAGCTTGCATTTCACAGCTCCAAGTTTCCTTGCCTCTTCAAGCTGATTCTAAAATAGCAGAAAAAGAAAACTCGACTTCAGCTACTGAGTCAGGCACAGATTTCATGCTCATGTTGATTACAGTGTTTCTATTGGGAAAATGAATTCAAATAACTGTTTTAGTGAAGACCCTTCAGTAGCCATCAAGGTGGTAGATGGTTTGGTGCATAAAGGAACTTGGAGCAAGCCTAAAAACGTGAACTTGATGATCCCTGGAATCCACATGTCCTAAGAAAAGAACTGAATCCTACAAGTTGTCCTCCTACCTCCACAACACGTGTGCACTGGCGTGCGCGCGCACGCACACATACACACACATGTAAATAAATAAAGTATAAAATAAAAGTTAGGACTTCAAAATAAAATCTAACTTTTTATAGATTAAAAACAATCATAATTTCTATTTTATTAATATTTTTAGCTTTTACCTAAATAAGATTAAACTATGCCTTAAAAGGGTTTTTTTTAATTAGAAATCAATGGAAAATTTAAATACATATAATTTCTTATTAATGTTTGGCAATTTATGAAATTCTGAACTAGAGAGATAGCTCGGGGTAGAATGTTCGCCTACCATGCAGGTGGTTCTGGACACAATCAAACCAAAAACACCCAAATCTCTTAACTATGAAAAATTACCAAAAGCACTGAGTTATGAAAAATTTTATTGATTGTAGCTGAGAGTAAAGTTTCAGGGTAGAGTGCATGCTTAGCATATTTAAGACCTCGTGTTTGATCTCCTGCATCCTCCTTTCTTCTCAGCTTTTAATAACAACACTTCAATACAGTTTTAAATCTCCAAGGTGCCTCGGAAAGCAGAGTGCTTGCTATGTAATACTGGCAACCTGAGTTAAAACCCTAGAATTCATGTAAAGGTGAAAGAGAGAACTGACTCTACAAAGTACATGCATGCTATGGCATGCAGGCACACATCATACACACACACTAACAACTAATTTAAAAAATATATATATATTGCTGGGCTGTGGTGCTGCACGCCTTTAATCCCAGCACTCAGGAGGCAGAGACAGGAGGATCTCTGTGAGTTTGAGGCCAGCCTGGTCTACAGAGTGAGTTCCAAGACAGGTTCCAAAACTACACAGAGAAACCCTGTCTCGAAAAACCAAGAAAAAAAAATGCTGTCAGAATCCTCTTGCTCTCTGCTTCAAACAAATAAATGGGAGACAGAAACTGATTTTAAAAAAAAAAATCATCGTTTTAAATTTTTAAACAAAACAAAAACAACAAATGTCATTTTAAAAAGATTATACATTTGGAGATCTTAGCAGTAACAAGCAAACAGAAAAGAAAAGTTGGGACTGAGTCCTGACAGAATACATATATTAATTATGTACTACCATAATACTTGACAATGACAATAAGCAACACTGTTATATTTATTTGTATATATTTACAGCATGGGCTTTTTGTACATTTGTATATTTACTACATGGACTTTTTTTAATCATTATTTTAGAATACTCTACTTATTATTTTTTTTTAAAAAAAAAGCTTGCCATGAATGAAACAGCATCCAATGATTGGCAACCAGCAGCCATATACATCTTGTGTTGACAAAAATCCCTTAACTGCATGGAAAGTCCTATCAAATAACTGACAGCAGTGGTCAAACAGCCCAGATGAAACTCCTCAGAATGACCCCCACAGCCACTGTATTCTAAAACTTAGTATGAGGGGAAAAAGGAGAGGGTCTTTCGTTCTTATGTCTCAAATGTAATTGAGACAATCACAACTTAATTACAAATTAAGACAAACTTAATTACAAATTAAGCTCAATGCTAAGCCTGAGCTACAGAGGAAGGTCCTATCTCAACAACAAACCATTATCATCTTTGAAACTATACAATTTCATTCTTAATGTCAAGTTTCAACACTGCTTCCATTCATTATATTTTACTACAAATTACTATTGTAATTTATAGTTATAAAATAATTATAATCATTATACAATTAGAGTTGCCCTAATTAAAACATTTCATCTAATGCTCAAACCATATCACTGTGAAAAGTGAGTTATAGAGGCAGGTAAGTACTTGCTCTAAAGTAATACAACTAAGTGATGGGGGGAAAATTCAAAGGGGAAATTGCTCAGTGGTTAAGGTACTTGTCTTGCAATCAGGAGACCTGAATTCCAATCACCAGAACCCATACAAGTAATTTTTAAGTAAGCTGACCATGGACTAGCTTAATCAATGAGCTCTTGGTTTGACTGGAAGACTCTTCCTCAGAAAATAAGGTGGATGAGCAAGCTAGAAGCTTACCAACATCAACCTCAGGACTACACACACATCTGAGTATACATAGACCCTCACACACACACATAAATAAATAAAAATAAACAAAATTCAAGCCCATTCATTTCAGAGGCTAGAGATGTCAGACACAGCACTATTGCAATATTCACAAGGAATAAAAGACCAAAATTACAGGAAGAAGATTTCATCCTAATGTAACAGTTTCAAAATGTAAGAGGTTTCAAAAAAGATGAATTCTAAAGAACACACATCACCAAATAAAAGAAATGGAAAATTTCAACTATTATGGAATTGGAAATTGCCACTTTCAAGATCCCCTGAAGGAACATGCCAATTCTAATCTCCTACAGGAATAGAAATTTCTGCCTAAACTGGCAGATGAGGGAGGATCTTTCATTTGATCACTTTTTTTTAAAAGATTTACTTATTTATTATGTATACACTGTTCTGTCTGCATGTATCCCTGCAGGCCAGAAGAGGGCACCAGATCTCATTACAGCTAGTTGTGAGCCACCATGTGGTTGCTGGGAATTGAACTCAGGACCTTTGGAAGAGCAGTCAATGCTCTTAACCTCTGAGCCATCTCTCCAGCCCCTGATCACTTTTTTAAATGCCATACTTAGAACTTAAACATTTTGGTTATCAAGCTGTTACCTTCAATTTTTTTTTTCTAGAAGTTTCTAGGTACAATATAATGAATGAAGAAGTTTGGTTGAAGTCCAACACTATATCTAAGTCTATTCAAAACAAGCAAATTCCTAGTGAAGAGGAAAGAAGAATAATTCATAATCCTTTTGTTTGTTTGTTTTTGTTTTTGTTTTTTTTGAGACAGGGTTTTTCTGTGTAGCTTTGGAATCTGTCCTGGAACTTGCTATGTAGATCAGGCTGGTATCACAGACATCCGCCTACCTCTGCCTCCCAAGATTAAAGGCATGCACTCCACCACCTGGCAATAATCCACAATCTTAAATAAGTAGCACGGATTTTATTTTAGCAAAGCTGCATGATGGTTTAAATTAGAACTCCCAAAGAAACAGAGGTAGATCAGAGAATTCGTCCATAGGGCATGTGGCTAGGGTTAATGGCTTTATTAAACACTTCAGAATATTAGCTTCCGAGGTCCTGTTGCAAGTATCACTTGGGAGTTGGAAGTGGGGGTTCCAAGGAAAACTGTTGGCTCTTAAGCCCTTACTGACAGCCATCATATCCCTCCTCTATGCTTCTCTACTGTCACCCACCCCCTTTTTGTTGTTAAGTGCTAAGACCCTTCTAAGGGCTGTGAACCATTTGAACCTGAGTCACTCGAAAGAAAACTATTCTAGCAGCAATAACCAAGGTCTCAATGATGCTGAAGCCACACCTGCTTCATGTCAAGACTTGCTCCAGCCATGACTACCCCAGGTAATCTGCTCTAGATTTAGAATTTTCCACTGCAGAAAAGAGAAACCTCAATGTGCTTTAGAAGACCTTGCTCGTTCTACAGTTATTCTCACTTGGGATGAGAGATGTACTACTCCTGTGATTCAATAAAAAGCCTATCATTGGTGCAACATGAGGTCTGTGCCTAGTGAAACTGGCATCAATGCACATGCAAGACTGTATCTGATGAAATTACAATCTGAGCTATGCCCTTTCTCTAACTATATAAGCAGGCTATGTCTTAGTTTGACAGGCTGGTCTGGGACACATCTTCACAGTATACTTTGCCTATAACCTACTCCGGTGCTGTAACATTAGACCCAATTATATATATAATTATATATATAATCTATTTCATCAAGGGTAGATCAGGCCATGCATGGTGGCACACACCTTTAATCCCAGCACTCAGGAGGCAGAGGTAGGTAGAGCTCTATGAATTCAATACCAGCCTGGTCTTTTAAGAGTTCCAGGACAGCCAGGGCTACACAGAGAAACCCTGTCTGGAAAAACCAAACAAACCAAAACAAACCTTTACACAAAAACTTCTTCACAACAGAACAGGAAATCCCTTTGTATCACCTCATCAACAACAACAAAATCTCGCAAACTTGATCTAGGCTATAAGCCACTTTGTTATTGCTTCTCACTTATCAGCCAAACTGAACTGAGCATAGCAGCCCAGCTACAACGCTTTCTGCTGCACACTACTCTGCTACAAGTAGCCCTAAAGACCCCCAAAACTCAAACGGCCAAATCACCTTAATGCTCATGTCTTATCTGTAGCTATTTCAGCTCCATTTCTTGAAAACAATGCACTCTGCTCTCATTCAGCTGCTCCTTTTGAGCTCTTTACAGATTCTCCATATCTTTCCCCCATCATGTCATATAGAAATGGGTTTTCTGTCACATTCGAGACTTCAAACTGATCCCCAAAAAAACAGTGAATAATTCCACACCTTCAGCTATAAAATTATCAAGTATGAACCTCTAACCCTGGCACCTCACCTGTGGTTTAGTCCCTATTGAAAACTGCCATCTAGATTTTGTTGGTTAATTTGTTTTGGAGTTTCTCTGTGTTGTTCTGGAACACTCTGTAGACCAGGCTGGCCTTGAACTCAGAGATCCGCCTACCTCTGCCTAAAGTGCTGGGATTAAAAGCTTATGCCACCACCTCCTGGTTTGTTATCTGGATATTTAAATTCACTTGAATTCCGTATTTCTAAATCCTTCCCTCAAAATTGAGGTCTGAGGTCAATTTTGTTGTTGCATTATTTACTCATAATAATCAAATAAGTAATAACTCCAATGTTCAACTGATGATTTCTAAAACTGTGGCATTCCATACAATCTATTATCACTCAGCAATTTTTTAAAAAGTACCAGTATAGGCTACACGAAACTTTGAAAACATGCTAAGGAATAAAAGGATTCCTAAGGACATACTGCTATACCCATACATCAGTGCATTGCTCAACCCTCAGAGAAGGTTTTTCTTCTAGTAGATGATCGTTAAACAGAGACCCATAACTGACACTGTGCAGAATGAAACTTTTGCAATACTCAGTCAGTGGTGAATAGGATATCTTTATCACACCTCTCCCCTCAAGGCTCAGGGATCTATGCAAAAGAGGAATGGAGGCAGAAAGACTGTAAAAGCCAAAGGCAGCGGACTATGTCAAGAAACAGCATTTTCCAGAAACAACAATTTGCACAAGATCTACACAAACGCAAACCCAACAAAATCCCAGCTTGGAGAAGGAGAACTAAAGACTGAGTCCTACCTGAGGAACAGTAATTGATAGATGCTAGGAGAGGAAAATCAGTTTTCATCAATGGAGTGACACTGAGTATATATACCAAGACCCCTGGGCAGACCCATGATCAGTAATTAACCAACAAAAATCAAACCCCTTGTGTTTATATAATTTTTTGTGGGGGTTGTTTCCATAAGAGAAAGAACATGAAGGTAGTTGGGTAGGGACATGGTGGAGAATCTAGGAGGAGTTGGAGGAGGGAAAAGAATATGATCAAATTATACTGTAAGAATTTCTAGAGAACAGAAAAAAACCATACTAAATTATATATATATATATATATATATATATATATATATATATATTTTCCATTTACCTAAAATATTCAAACTAGGGAAATTTCAGAGACAAAAAGCCAATTAATGGTTTTCAAGAATGGGGGAGGGGGGGAAATGAGGA